CATTGGTTAATAAAGAATCTTCTTGGGCCTGCGCAGGGAATAGATGTAGGTGGGAAAAACTAAACTGAATGCTGGGAGAAAGAGGGCAGAGTCAGAGAGAAGCCATGTAGCCCCGCCGGAAACAGATGCCAGAACTGTACCGGGTAAGCCACAGCCTCACAGCTATATAACGATTAATGGAGAAGGGTTAAATTAAGATATAAGAGTTAGCCAACAAGAAGCTAGAGCTAATGGGCCAAGCAGTGATTTTAGTAATATAGCTTCGGTGTGGTTATTTCAGGGCTGAGCAGCCAGGAACTAACAAGCAGCCTCCTTCAACATCACTCTGTAGACCAGGCTTGAACTCACAGAGGTGCATCTGCCTCTGCCTCCTGAGTGCTGGGGTTAAAGGTGTGCGCCATCACCACCCGGCTGATATAAGGACTTCTATGTAGATCTTCTACATAGTTATGTTAACTGTGACTGACTTTTTTTTTTTTTAATACAGGGTCTCATTATGTAGTCCTGGCTGACCTGGAACTTGCTAAGAAGACTAGGCTATACTCAGACTCATAGAGATCCACCTGCTTCTGCTTCTCAAACATTAGCATTAAAGATGTGGGTTATCACATCCAGCCTGAAAGTCCCATGGAGTGCTGAACTACATGAAGATGCTCCAGTAGTGAGCATTTTCTACTGGTTCCTCACACCAACCATCCTAAATTGGGCTCTCTGGAAACACATTAGATTGAGGAGATTGTACAGGCACAAGATTCACTGAGGAGTGTTAGGACTCAAACACACAAGTGATAGCTAATCGTCTCAACTTGACAGACAGATTCTCTAGCTTGATCTCTGGCTGTGCCTATGAGGGATTGTCTTGGTTGGGTTAAGGACCCACCCTGAGAGGGCAGTACTATTCATCAGCTTGAGTCCCAGACGATGTAAAAAGGAGAAAAGCTAGCTAAGCGTGAGCATTCACTGCTCTCTGCTTTCTGACTGCAGATGCAGTACAACCCATTGCCTCCATCCTCTCGGCCAGGACCTTCTAGTCACAATGGACTCTGACTTGGGTGCTGTACCCTTGAACTGTGAGATAAAATAAGCCCTTTGTCTCAAGCAAGAAGGTAGGTAAGCAAAGTCGGTATAGCAAAAAACTATTCCGAGAGGTATCACATAACACTCATACTCTAAGTCCTCACCATGGTCCTCAGCCTGTCTCCCCAAGGCTGCTCACCTGTGTGTAGCACACCTGAACCGAAGGCCAGGTCCAGTCTCTCATGGTAGTTTCCAGTTCAAGGATCAGGATCCCAGGGGAGACTCTCCAGATGCAGGATAGAGTATCCCCAGCAGTCCTGAAGAGTGCAGAGCGCTGTGTTGCTCTTGGCTTCCACCTATATACCGTCTAGTGGGTGTTGTGGAGTTCCAGCCGTGCGTCTGGCTATCTTGAGTGCTGTCCCTGGGATATCAGGTGCAGCAGCCAGAGAGAGTGGGGCTCCTGACAGCTATGTTCACGTGTCTGAGAGGCATTTTTACCCTGCTCCTCACACCCTTTCTCCCTCAAGTTGCTGTAGTCAGCTGTTTTATCACAGCACCGGGAAGAGAAACCACTGCAGTCTGTGAGGGAGTTCGGAAGGCAGGCTCAGGCCTAGGAGAAACTCACTGACTGTAACATGAGGGCCAGCTTGCTTGTTTGGGTTTCTGTCCTGCCCAATACCCCACAACCGGCAAGCCCCAAAGAAAATCACACAAAGATCTCCATAAGTTATAAAACTGATTGGTCCATTAGCTTAGTCTTCTTATTAACTAATTCTTACATCTTATGGTAACCCATAATTCTTGTCTGTGTTAGCCATGTGGCTCAGTACATTTTCCAGCGGGGGCAGGTCACATATTGCTTCTCTGTGGTTTGGGAAGGAATGGAGGAATGGGCTTCCTCCTTCCTAGCCTTCTCCTGTTCTCATTGCCCCGCCTCTATTTCCTGTCTGGTTGACCCGCCTATACTTCCTGCCTGGCCAATCAGCGTTTTATTAAAATACATGATTGACAGAATACAGACAATTCTCCTGCACCAACTGACAAGTCATATCAAAAGCCTGTGTCAATGCAAGTTCCTGTCCCGCCCAGTCCCACAGTCATTCGACCCCAAAGAAACACAGAGGCTTATATTAATTATAAACTGTTTGGCCTATTATCTTAGGCTTATTATTAACTAGCTCTTACAACTTAAATTCACCCATAATTTTTGTCTATGTTTAGCCTCGTTGCTTGGTACCTTTTCTCAGTGAGGCATTCTCATCTTGCTTCTTCTGCATCTGGCTGGTGACTGCGTCTCTTTCTTTCCTCTTCCCAGAATTCTCCTAGTCTGGTTGCCCCACCTATACTTCCTGCCTGGCTACTGGCCAATCTGCATTTTATTAAACTAATACGGGTGACACAGCTTCATAATGTACAAGAGTGTTGTCCTGCAGTAGCCTTAGTTGGTCCTATTAACTGCACACTCTGGCGGTGGAATGGTCCATTAGAGTTTCCCAAATAGAGGTAACCAAAGAAAAGCTACAATCACTGCCTCAATCAGTCTTGACATGTGGGCCTTGAAGTAGGGCATAAAACTTTGAGTGACACAATGCCCTGTCTTGGAAGGCACTGCCCAGTGAGGGAGGGAACTGTGTGGTATCAGCAGCTGTATTCCCAAGAGCTGGGCGTATTGGTCCCGAGAAGGTTCTATTCGGAGTGCTGTTTAACAGCACACACCTGTGATCTTTTTGTTTGTTTTTGTTTTCGAGACAGGGTCTCTTGGCTATTCTGGAACTAGCTCTGTAGATCAGGCTGGTCTCAGACTCACAGACATCTGCCTGCCTCTGCCTCCTGAGTGCTGGGATTAAAGGTGTGCGCCACCACACCCAGTCAAACCCGCGATCTTAACACGCAAGAGGCCAAGGCAGTCTGGACTACCTGGAAAGACCTTGTCTCGCTCCTGGACCTAACTCAACAATCATTACAATAGCCAACAGTCTTCAGTCCAGTGTCTCTAGATATCTTTCAAGTTCTTCATGCATCCAAGTAGCTCAGGTTATATTACATATGAGAAGCATTGGAGAAAACCAGACAGATAGACCTAGATTTGAATTCACTTAGCCACTGTGTGGTCATGAGTGAATTGCATGGGCTCAGTATTTTCTTCTGTAGACTAGGTTCTGTTATTCTTAATAGTATGAGAAGTTTTCTCTAATTTTTTGGTGACCTTGACTGAGATCAAACCAGGATGCATGGTTTTGATACAGAAAAGAATTTCAGTGTGCTTTTAATCCCAGCACTAGGGAAACAGATCAGCTTGATCTCTGTTCAAGGCCAGCCTGGTCTACAGAGCAAGGTCTAGGACAACCACAGCTAACAGAGAAACCCTGTCTGGACCACTCCCTAGAAAAAAACACGGTCTCACTATATATCCCTGGCCAGCCAGCAACTTGATGTATAGACCAGGCTGTCCTCAAATTCACAGAGGTCTGTCTGTCCATGCTGGAATTAAAGGAACGCGTCACTATACTCAGTGAATTGGAGATTTTATTAAATATTTTAAAATTAATTAATGTATTTTGTTTTTTGAGATAGAGTCTCACTTTATAGCTTCTTTCTGGCTGTCCTGGAAGTCACTATGTAGACCGAGCCGACCTTAAGCGCAGAGAATCCACATCCTCTGCCTCCCAAGTGCTGGGTTCCAGGTATGTGCCGCCATGCCTGGCTATTAGATATTTTAGCATGGGTGTGGGGTTCTCAAATAGAGAGTCACAGAAATAAGGCATGCTTAGGGGTGGGTGTGGTTCCTCAAGGGAGAGTCAGAATTGTCTCAGCACTGGTCAATAGGTACATTTTCTGCGGTGTGCATGTTATATCTCAAAGGGTTGCTATAGAAACTTAACAAAACAATTTCTCTTTCTTGGTAAGCAAAGTTAGAGCTGCAGAGGAGCCTTGGATGAAATTATAATCTGATAAAGTACAGCCAGGAGGCACCAAGGTTGTACAACAGTGTCTGGTTAGAGTCCTAGAAAATGAAGGTTTTTAGAGGGGAAGTGATGACTGCCTTAAGCAATTGCTAATTGTCTTGGACTCTTGCTGCTTAGTTGTTGAGACGCTCCAACTAGAATCCTGGGTGAAGGGCTGCTTTTCCCTCTCGGGCTCCCTTACTTTGCCTTTCTAACCTACCTCAGTACAACTTTACAGTGCTGTCTTCAGGACCAAGAGAACTATGTGCACGGTAGGGTCCCTCCCGTCAGTACAGGGGAAGCCAGTCCATGAGGAACGGGGGGTGAAGGGCAAAGGTAGAGCCTGACCAACCTGACCAACCTCTGACATTCTGGCGTCTGCATGTCAGACAGAGCCTTTTTTCTCTAGGTGACGCGTGTCACAGCAATAACTATTATTTCAAAGCTGAGATAATTGGTTTTAAAGTCTCTTCCTTATCTCTTTCTCCGCAGGCATTAATTGTGTGTGCAGCAGTTGTGTGTCTGAGCAGACAGAGGGAGCAGTGAACAGAGACAGGGGCCCACCATGGCTCGTGCTCTGAGTGAAATCAGGACCCACCTCCAGATCCGGAGCCTCGTGGTCCGACAGTGCCTGGCAGAGTTTCTGGGTGTATTTGTGCTGTTGGTAAGTGGGGTACTTGAGGGAGGTGAGGGTCAGGGTTTCTGGCTCTTCTTGGTGTCATTTTCCCCTGGTAACCCACTTCCTTTCGCCCCAGTTTCTTCTCTTTTCCTTCTCTTAATCTCTTCTTTTCTCTTTTACTCCCTCACCTTGTTTTTAAGGTCTTGCTTTGTATCCTAGGCTGGGTCCTCCACAAACCTCCCAGCATAGCCTATTTTCACTTTTTTGAAAGTTTTCTTGCCGAGCAGTGGTGGCCCACGCCTTTAATCCCAGCACTCGGGAGGCAGAGGCAGGTGGATCTCTGTGAGTTCGAGGCCAGACTGGTCTACATAGAGTTAGTGCCAGGACAGGCTCCCAAAAAAGAAAGCTTTCTTATTTCTATTCTTACCTAGCAGGGGATAGGCCATGATCATGAAGGTGATTTTCTCAGGGCAAGACTTGTCCTTTGCACCCTGGATGTGCTAAACCCTGAGATGTTCCAAGATATAGGAAACTCAACTGTGTAATTTGTGGTAGTGGTAACTCTGTTCATGCTGTCTCCTAAAGAAAAAAGAAATCACCTATTTTCTTACTATCTAACCTTGGCTGGTGTGGAACTTGCAGACTCTCCCGTGGGTGCTGAGACAGGGCAAGGTGCCACCACACACACCTGGCAGCTCCTTTTCCCTTTTGAGTTTCCTTCTCTCATCCCTCACTTTTCTCCAGTTCTCCTATTTCCTTCTTTTTGAGTCTCTCAGATTTGTTCACTTTTCCTGGTGGGTCCCTGCAGCTGCGCGCTCTCTCTCTTTGTCTCTCTCTCTCTCTCTCTCTCTCGCTCGCTCGCTCGCTCGCTCGCTCTGTCTCTCTCTCTCCCATTGGTTTCCTGGGTGCTCCCTCCCCATCGCCCCTCTCTCCATCAGCTCCTCACACAGGGTTCTGTGGCCCAGGCTGTCACCAGTGAAGAAGACAAAGGCAACTTCTTTACGACATTTCTGGCCAGCTCTCTGGCTGTTACAATAGCTATCTACGTGGCTGGCAATGTCTCAGGTGAGCAGGGTGGGGCCTGAATGTGGGAGCAGATGTGCATGTGAATGAGTGGTGGGAAAGCAGGTCCTTTTGATGACTCGGCACGGGCATTATCTCCCTGAACTTGGCCAGTGCCCGGGACTGAGATATGCCTTTGACCTCATCAAGTCCCTCTCCTTCCTCTAGCTAACTTCCCACCAGGTCTTATGTTAACTTGACACAATCTAGGGTTATCTGAAAGGAGGAAACCTCAGTTGAGACAAAGCCTCCATAAGATCCAGCTGTAAGGCATTTTCTTAATGAATGATAATGAGAGCCCAGTTCACTGTGGGTGGAACCATCCCTGGGCTGGTGGCCCTGAGTTCTATAAGCAGGCTGAGCAAGCCATGGGTAGCCAACCAGTAATCAGTACTCCCCTCCATGGCCTGAGTTCCTGTTCTGACTTCCTTTGGTAGTGAATGAAGCGTGATATGGAAGTGTGAGCCAAACCCTTTCCTCCCCAAGTTGCTTTGGTTATGGTGTTTGGTCGCAACAATAGAAATCCTAACTAAGACATCATTCTTTACAGCAGCCTCCTGCCTCGCTCAGGCAGATAATCTATAGCAGGGCACTGAGGATAATTACTGTTATTTTGTGTCTCACACCTGAAGCTCTCCTCTCTGCTCAGGACCTCATCAGCTTGGCTCAATCTATGTTGTGTTAGCGTGCCTGGCCCTGGCCTCGAGACACAGTGTGCTGCAGGGGAACCAGGAAATCTGCTCAGGTTCAGAACCTGGGGTCACTGTGGGCCTCTGATACATCACTTAGAGAAATGTATGTTTGGGTGTGTTGCCTGTATGCATGTCTGTGTGAGTGCATGGGATCCCCTGGGACTGGAGTTACACACTGTTTGGAGCCGCCACGTGGGTGCTGATAACCCAAGGTCCTTTTCACGACAACCAGTGCTCTCTATCACTGAGCCATCCCTCCAGTCCCCAAATCATTTTCTTTTTGAGACCTAATTGTTTAAACTGTATGACGGGGATAAGCCTTGTACGAGAGAGCCTGGTGCTGTGAGAGGGTTGGCAGTGGTACCTAATCCTGTCTTTCCCCCCGTTGATCTTGCGAAGGAGCCCACCTAAACCCAGCCTTCTCTCTGGCCATGTGCTTGGTGGGACGCATGCCCTGGACCAAGCTCCCCATCTACTGCTTTGTGCAACTGTTGTCTGCCTTCTGTGCCTCAGGAGCTACCTACATTCTCTACTATGGTAACAGAGCAACACGGCCAGGGCAGTTGTTGTGGGCAGGGGTGCCTCGCAGTGGTTTGCGATAAATACAGACAGAAACTCTCGAGTCTCTCTCTCTCTCTCTCTCCCCCTCTCTCCTGAAGATGCCCTCCAGCACTACACAGGTGGGAACCTGACAGTGACTGGTCCCAAAGAGACAGCCTCCATTTTTGCCACCTATCCGTCCCCCTATCTGTCCCTGAACAATGGCTTCTTGGATCAGGTGAGTGTGGAGGGAAGGGCCTGGGGCACTGAGTCCCAACCTTTGCCTTGTTTGCTGGGACCCCAAGGTTAGTTCTACCTTGGTATCCCTAGCTTCTGTTGGGCAGATGGCAGGGAGGCGGTGGTGAAGACTTTGAGGGAAGGAGGGCAGATGGAGCACCTGCCTGTCCGTTGATGGACTTCCTCCTACCACCATCACCCAAGGTTCTGGGCACCTGGATGCTGATTGTAGGGCTATTAGCCATCCTAGACAGATGCAATAAAGGCGTGCCTGCAGGTCTGGAGCCCGTGGTGGTGGGACTGCTGATCCTCGCCATCGGACTAGCCATGGGTTCTAACTGTGGCTTTCCACTCAACCCTGCCCGGGACCTGGGCCCACGGCTCTTCACCTACTTGGCTGGCTGGGGCCCTGAAGTCTTCAGGTAGGGCACAGTCTCCCTTGGTACAGTCCTCCATTCACCTTTATTAATAGCTTTGTCTGGGTTTCTCTACCCCCTCCCATTTTGAAACAGGGTCTCACTATGTACCAGGCTGACCTCCCTCAGATCCTCCTGCCTCCCACATGCTGAGACCAAAGGCATGTGCCACCATGCCCAGTCCAAGTTCTCCTCTTAAACTAGTCTCCCTTCCTTCATGGCTCTCCTGCTCCCCAACCCTTTCCATGGAAATAGCAGATAGAGAAGTGTCCTTGGCTGTCATACTAGTTCTTGGGGCTTTAGTGACCCATCCATAAAACAAGTCTATTCAGCTAGTTCCCCTAGAGGCTGGACTAAGCTGTGCTGGAGGTTCCCTCCTAAGTGCTTCCCATTAATGAAGATGACCCCATGCTCACTGTGGGACCTGTCTTACTATTCCCAGCTCATAGGGGAAGTGTGTCTGGGAGAAACACCTCTGACATCTCCTGTTTGTCCGTTTGTCCTCCCGTTGCAGTGCTGGTAATGGCTGGTGGTGGGTGCCTGTGGTGGCTCCTATGGTGGGGGCCACCCTCGGCACAGCCACATACCAGCTCCTAGTGGCTCTGCACCACCCTGAGGATCCAGAGCCAGTTCCAAAGATGACAGCAGCTCAGCTCGAGGCTTCAGTCTTGGGAACTCCAGCTCAGCTGGAGTGTAAACTGTGATTACCAACCTTATCTCACTCTGTAAGAGCATCAGGAGCTGGCAACCTGTGAGACAGATGTTCTCTGTGTTAATATGCCAGATTCCGAGCCGCTTAGACTGGGGAGAACCAGAAGACATGATCTGGCGCTTCCTTGTTCAAGCTGGTCTTTGCCCTAAAGTGGCCGTCAGGGGGTGTGCCACACCAGGGTGTGTGCTAGCTTTGGGAAGGCTTCTAGAATCTGTTGGGTGGAGGGGTACTACCATCCTTTGAGGGGTAGGGCCCTGGGGCTTCGGGAGGGAAGCTTGTTTTCCACTGCTCTGACTCCCAGCTCCCTCATGCTCTCCCCGTCCCGTCCTCCCGCGCCCCCCCCCCCCCCCTGCCCTTTTCCGTTTAAGACAAGTCTCCCTACGTAACCCTGTAACTTTCTATGTAGACCATACTGGCCTTGACTTCTGACTCCACTGTAGGAGTACAGCATGTGACCCAACAAGAATGATTCTTTAAAAAAAAAAATCAAACAAAAAACAAACTCAACAACAGCAATTTAAGTCGGGAGTGGTGGAGCACTCGAATCTCTGAGACGTCCAGGCCTGGCAGAGATAGAGTGGGACCCGTCTCAAAATAACAAATAACAACAACACAAAACACACCAAAACCCCTTAAAGTTCTGCGGTACTAGGCATTGAATTCAAGGCCTGGGCAAGTGCTCTTCCTCGGAGCTGTCTGTCTGTCTTCTGGCTGCCAGTCCAGACAATCTCGGAGCTTCGATCTTTGGCCAGACAAGGGCTCCTCCAATGTACTCCAAAGACCCCTAGACGGTTCTTAGAGGTGTGTGTGTGTGTGTGTGTGTGTGTGTGTGTGTGTGAGAGAGAGAGAGAGAGAGAGAGAGAGAGAGACAGAGAGAGACAGAGACAGAGAGAGACAGAGAGACAGAGAGACAGAGAGTGAGAGAGAAAGAGGGTTCCTAGAAAGGTGTGTTCGCGCGCACCACCCAAGGGGCGTGGTAAGGGTAGAGCCATCTTCCCAGCGTCTGACAACCAGGCAGAGAAACTGAGGCACAAAACAACACCCCGGCAATGCGGGGCTGTGCCACTTAAGGAGGTGAAAGGCCAGGAGACGAGCCAGGGCGAGGAGGGAAATGCGCTACGGGCTCCTTCGCCGCCTCTCCCGCATCAGGCTCCTCCCCGCAGATGTTCTCTGGCTGAGACAGCAGCATTCTCTCGGTCTCAGGCTTCCAAAATAAAGAAACAGCATCCCGGCGTTCTCCAGCCTCGCCGAATGCCTGCGTGTCCGGGGCTGGAGCGTGGGACCCTCCCCTCCGCACCAAAATGGCGCACGCCGCGCCCCTCACCTCCCCAAAGCCCCTCCCGCCCCCCGCCCGCGGCCGCCGCCGTCACTTCCGCCCCGCGGCCGAAACTGACACAA